AATCCTGTATCAGGATTTATTTTGGAGGCTAGGAATGTAGCTCAGTGGTGGACTGATAGCATTGAGATACAAGGCCTTGGATTCAATCCCAGCAGTGCCAAAGAAACAGTGAGGTTCAATACTACTGACATTGCTGATTAGTTGTCTCTTCAGAGCGATGGGAAGGGATCTTCCACAGTCATAGGGTCTCACTGTCTAAATTCTGCTCTGATGTACTCGGCTGTCCCCACCTAGTAACCAAACAAGTAGATCATGTACCTCCTATGGCCTTTGCCTCCATTGTGACAGTGTGGCCCACAACCCCACACCTGTTCTCTAGTAACTGAATGCATTTTCCTTCATTTTTAGGTGTCAGAACGTCTCAGCTCTACCCAAAGGCTTTGGAGTTCAAGAACTGAAAATACAGCAGTCATATTTACTGTTTGAACAGAGTCGCTGTGCAGTGAAGGCCAAAAGGGCCGATAGTCCTGGTCGACTTGTACCTTGTGGGGCAGGTAAGGGATCCTGGTCGGGCTTTCTGTGGATAGACATTTCTTGGCAGAGTAGCCTGGCAGGGTCTGTATCTTCCCAGCCTAGAAAGGAAGCTCGCCATTCCATGGTCAATTGTATGGGCTTTGAAGACACCTGCACTGGGTTAAAACTGCTCTGTGTGACCCTGAACAGATCACCTTCTCCTGGCCTCATTTCTTTCTCTTCTGATTAGAAAAATGTCACTTATCATGGTTATTGAGAGGCTTAAATGAGAAATTGTATTTAATGCACTTAATCTGTGTCTAGCATATGATAAATGTTCAATGACATTATAAATAATTGTAGTGACAATATCAAATCATGAACCACTTTCTCCTGTTTTGCCCCAGAGGCCCAGCATCAAAGCAGGGATCTTCTCTGACAACATATCCAGCTGCCATGGGCCTGCTGAGTTAAAGTAATATTTTTATGAATATGCACTGGTATGTGCAGGACTTGGAAGTTTTAAGTGCTGAATTTATCTGTTTACAGCCATCAGCTGGAGTGCAGTTCCTGAGCAGCCACTGGATGTAACTGCCAATGGTTTTCCACAGGGAACTACGAAGAAAGGAATCAGAAGCCTTCAGGCCAGGTAACAGGGTGCTGGGGCAGGTGCTGGTGGCCATGAATTTAGACCTTCTTTATCTAATTCCAGAACATTTTCATTGTCCCAGAAAGAAAGCTATACCTACTAGCAGTAATTACCTGCTCCTTCCTACCATTGTAGGAGACTTCTGTTTGCCCCGCACTCTTTTTTAACTCGGCTTTCTTATTGTCTGCTTTTCTTTCCCTCCTCTACAGGGTCTTACTGTGTAGTTCAGGCTGGACTCAAACTCTCAGTCTTCCTGCCTCAGCCTTCTGATTGCTGGGATTATAGGCATACACCCTACCCCTGGCACTTGTCTGTCTTTTTATTGTAGTCATTCAGCTGAGTCTGAAGTGGTGTATCATTACAGTTTTGATTTACATTTCTCTGGTGACTAATGGTATTAAGCATCTTTTTAATGTACTTATTAGCTATTTGTGTATCATCTTCAGAGCTGTTGTCAGTTCTTGCCTATTTTAATGTTTAATTGTGAGTCTCCTCTACATGTTCTGGATACTGGTCCATTATCAGATAAATGATTTCCATGTTTGCTTTTTTTCTTTTTTAATAATGTTCTTAGAGCACAGAATTTGTCAGTTTTGATAAAGTCAAATTCATGTACTTTTTTCTTTGCTTGCTTGTAGTTTTGGTGTCATTACTTTTCTTGTGTGTTTGTTTTTGGATTTTTATCTTAAGCTTTTTTTTTTTTTTTTAATAAGTCTTGCTCTGTAGAGTCTGGCCTTGAGTTCACTGTGTAGCTCAGTTAGTCCTCAAAACTCACAGTGATCCTCCTGCCTCAGCCACTGGAGTGCTGGGATTACAGGTGTGTGCCACCATACCCAGGTTGGGAATATTTTTAAAAGAATATTCTCTTGGGTTTCACCAGTAGCAGTGCTGGGTTTTTAGGTTAGTGTCAGCCAAGAATCACTTATGAAGCTTCAGAGTGACTGGACTTTGCATCTTCAGGTTGGCTTTTGGTGAAGTACCAGGCTTGTGGGATGCTGAACTTGAGGCTCTGATTCCATGCCTGGAGCTCATGTGGCAGTCTCTTTTGTGGACCTGGATCTTTCTAATGCTTGGCCAGTCTTAGTGATGCTTTCTCCATGTCTTTATCGTGCCCCTTAAAAAAAGTTGTTAAAGTTCTCAGAATATTTCATTTCTCTTTTTGACATGCTTATTTGCCTAACTCAAAATAACAAACCATAAAACCCAGCTTACATTAATTTTTTTATACTTAAAAAAAAAAAAAAGATTCTTCATAACCCGTAAGTACCAGGGTTCAAACAGCCTAGGCAGTAGCCCCTGCCTATCTCCTGGAAGCCTAGGCTTTTTGGATTGAAAATTACTAGGGTAGAGTCTTTTCTACCAGTTTTTCTCCAAGGGCCTTCCAGGTTTCCAGCCACCTTTTGCATTCTTTTGGAGACCATGTGTCAGCCTGGAGCAGGAGGTGCAAGCAGAGCAGATCATGAGGGACAGGACTACGAGTTTCCTGCTGAGCTCTCTGTTGTCAGTGGCAGCCTCACAGACCTCCTAATGGCCCTGCCTAGCTGACTGCAACTTCCATTTGCTGCTTTGCAAAGAACAAGAAGAAACTCTTTATAGTGTGATCTGTAGTCTCTTTTACAGAAAGTCCAGCTCACCTATTACTTCTTTCTGGCTAAATGTTACCTGCTATTCTGCATCTTGTTCCTATACATCCCTGTTACTTGAGTGTGATGGAGTGTGTGTGTGTGTGTGTGTGTGTGTGTGTGTGTGTGCTGGGTTTCACTGTGTAGTCCAGGCTAGTCTTGAACATAGAACCCTTCTACTTCAGCCCCATGTGCCACCACACCAGAGTGTCTCGAGTTCTATCTCCA